CTATGCCCGAGATTACACCTTATCCCAGACTACAGCTCCCCTGGAGAAAATGGATGTTTTGGAGGCTGGGCTCTTGGGCTCCGTAACCCCCCCGAGCTCCCTATCCTCCGCAGGGTCCATCCCCCAACTCTCCCGGAGTTTCCCAACCTGGATCTGGCAATCCTGCCTCCCCATCCCCTGTCGGGGGGCCGAGGGGGACCTCACCGGGCAACCCGAGTTTAGAACCAGTCCCGCGGCTCTGCATCGTTTCTCTCCGTGCGCCAGGACTGAGACCTGACATTCCGCACCAGATCAAGCTCAGATGAAGCCTGATACGGGAGAAAGAAAGTGTGGGTTTGTGAGCGAGAAAGAGAGACATTTCTGGAAAGGGGGAAATACACAGAGCATGCACATTATGGGTGGGTATCCCAGAATAGGGGGCGAAACCGCAGCCTTTAAAGCTGACATTATTTGGGGGGCGGGGGGATCTTCCCTAAAAGTGCGGGATGAGAAAGAGCGGGCCTCAGAGAACCTTAACAGTCTTTGGATGCTGCATCCGGCAGCTGTTGGGGGGGAAGAGGCTTGGCAGGGAAGGGTGCTGTGGGGAGGAACGAAGTTGTGAGCTGGCGAGTGTCTCCTCCCCCCCAAAGCCACCACGCATGACCTGCAATCGCTGCTCCCTCCCCCTGCTTGTCCTTCACTGTATCACTCAACTCCTCCACGCCCGCCCGTGTTGCTCCCCTCCACCCCCACCCCCCGCGGTTGCTGTTGCCAGAAATATATCTTGCTGCCTCCCACTGGGAAGTACAAAGAAGCACCAAACTCCGCGGCTTCTAAGGCCTCGAAGGGGGAGAGATGGTGCTGCGTCGTGCAGAGCCTGGTGTGTGGCTGGTGGAGGCTCTTGGCATCTAATGGACTGCAGGCTTGCGTGTCAGTAGCAGGCCACACCAGGGAACATGTTTCAGCGGGTGGCGGACAGGGTGTTGTAGTGAAGATCCGGGTTGTGCGGGTCTGTGGGCTGTAGTCTCGGAGGAGGGTCGCGTCAAAGGTATATACAAAGCCACAGTTGCACATCAGAGAGGGATCTGTCGTCGTTCAGAGATTGAAGATGAAATTGAAGCTCAGGGAGGAGGTGGTAGGCCAGCAGGGTGTACTGGATTAGGGTCAGGGTTGCCAAGTCTGGGTTGGAAAATACCTGGAGACTTTGGGGGTGAATCCGGGAGAGGGCGGGGTTTGGGGAGGGGAGGGGCCTCAGCATGGTACAGTGCCATAGAGTCCACCCTTCCAAGCAGCCATTTTCTCCAGAGGAGCTGATCTCTGTCAGCTGGAGATCAGTTGTAAAAGCGGGAGATCCCCAGGCCCCACCTGGAGGCTGGCAACCCTAATTAGGGTGTGGGATCGGAATCCGGGAGATCCGAGTTCAGATTCCTGTTCTACCATCAAATCCTTGCCGGATGGTCTTGGGCCCAAATGAAACCAAAGTCCGGTGGTGCCTAAAAGACGAGCAACATTTATTTCAGTAGTTTCAGAGGGCAGCCATGTTGGCCGACGGTAGAACAGCTAGATTTGAGTCCAGTAGCACCTTAGAGACCACAGGATGGTGGGGGCCAATGCTCCCTCTAAGCTGTGGAGTCCTGTGAGCAAAAATTCTACTTTGTGAGCTACGGGCATTAAAGTTGTGAGCAAGTGATTTGGCTACTGCATGAATGAGTTTGCTCTGGAGCCATCCTTCCTGAGCAAAGGCAAAAATGTGTGAGACGGAGGCTAAAAAAATGTGAGTTAGCTCACACTAACTCAGCTTAGAGGGAACACATGTTGGGGCATGAGCTTCTGAGAGCCAAAGCTCTCTTGGATAATAGAAGAAAAGAGAGTTTTCCATTGTAAATATAGAGTAAGAGAAAACTTTTTAATCAAACCTAAATTTGTCGCAGAGATCAGAAGCCTCCTTTTATTATATATATATATGTATATCTTTTTTCTTTCTTTTTCCGTTTTTTTTTTATTTCTTCTTGTCTGTCTTCTTTTATGTTTCAATAAAATTCTTTAAATGCCGCCGCCGCCTCCCCAAAGAGAGTCAAAGCTCCCTTCCAATGCTCCCTCTAAGCTGTGGAGTCCTGTGAGCAAAAATTCTACTTTCCGAGCTACTGGCATTAAAGTTGTGAGCGAGCGGGTTGGCTGCTGCACGAATTAGTTTGCTCTGGAGCCCTCCTTCCTGAGCGGAGACACAAATGTGTGAGCCGGAGGCTAAAAAAACTGTGATCTAGCTCACACTAACTCAGCTTAGAGGGAACACGGCTCCCTTCATCAGATTCCAATACGAACTTTCAAGATTGGAGGGCATGGTTTTTACTTGGGTAGGGAGGCTGCAGCGCATCATGGGGGCTAGAGTGTTGGACTAAGACTACAGGGTCCTGGGTTCGAATCCCCACTCTGTCACACAGCCAGAGGTCATTTTGGGGGGGATCGCTGTTCCCCCGGGTGAGGTACGGGGGGCGGGGCACATGATAAAGCCCCGCCCCCTGCTTCCGGCTGCCCTGCTTCCGGCCCTCATTCAGCCAGGAGGAGGCAGGAGAAGAGAGAAAGTTGAGATTGGTGTGATCAAGTCTCGGAGGAGGCTTGTATTACACTCTGATCCCCTCCCCCGCACACCTCCAGTGATGTCAGGGAGTGTGGCCTTATGACACACTTCCGGTGATGTCAGGGGGTGTGGCATATGCTAATGAGTTAGGCTAATGAGTTCCCCTAGCTCTTTTTCTACGAAACGACCCCTGCACACAGCTCACTTGGTGACCTTGGCCCAGTCATGATCTCTCAGCTTCACTTATCATCCAGGATTGTTGTGAAAATCAAATGGGGAAACCATGGAGCTCCTTGGGTGAGATGAAAACGTAACAGGTCGATAGTGCACAATACCCTGGGAGATGGCCGTGTCGCAGTGCAAGGTGATCGTCTGTTAGGAGGCTCCCTATGCAGAGGAGGGGGAAAGTATGTACTCCTGGGGCAGGGCCTGACTTACACTGGGGAGAATGCCATCCAGTGGGAGGCTACATAGGTGGGTCTGAGCAATAAAAGGCAGCATAACTAAACTGTAGTTGCATACCTATGGATTTCCCTATACGGTCAAGATAATCGAAGAGGTGCGCAAGATTTGGGTCCAGTAGCACCTTAATAACCAACAGGGTTTCCAGGGCGTAAGCGTTCGAGAGTCAAAACTCCCTTCATCAGATACAAAACTAGCTTTGATTCTTGAAAGCTGAACTCCCTGGAAAACTTTTAAGGTGCGGCTAGACCCGAATCTTGCGCTCCTGCTGCAGGCCAACATGGCTAATCGCCTGAAACGATCTCCAAGGGGTGAATTTTTGGACCAGTGCCACATTTAGGAAGCAGCGCAATGTTCGGCAGTGTGTGGGTGCAGCCTTAGAATGAAGCATGCAAGTCACGTACCGGGTTCATCTGGGTAGATCGATCCAGAATAATTACCGCGCCAATACGATCGATGCTCACAATCATTAGTGTTGATCGGAATCCTATTCAGGGAAGTATAGAGGAGGAAGACCACTTTTTGGACCATGGGACACAAACAAAGCGGGCTTGTTTTCTCCACGGGATCATGGAGTCTTCCTAGGAACTACTGGGTGAGCCAACGGTCGAGATGGGACAGGCTGCGATCCCAGAAATGACACCGGGTGTCACAAAGAAAGAAAGCACACTCCTCTATACAAACCAGGCCATTACTCATTCTGATGTTCATGATGCAGTTATTTATGCCAGGGGTTCCCCACGGCACCAAGCAGTACTTCCTTTGATCCTCACCAAGCTTTTCAGGAAGTGGGTGGAGCCGCTGTAAGACAGGGCTTGTGACAGGCTGCCCTCATTCCAATGAAAGGGTTTCCCACTGGAGGTTCAGGAGGGGCTGCTAAGCACCCAGGAGTTCCTTAGCCAGAGTGTGGTTCCATTTCCCCATTTTGGTGTAGTGGTAAAGAGCGGCGGACTCTAATCTGGAGAACGGGGTTTGATTCCCCACTCCTCCACATGAAGCCAGCTGCGTGACCTGGGGTGGGGTCAATCACAGTTCTCTCATGGGCAGTCCTCGAAAGAGCTCTCTCAGCCCCACCTACCTCACAGGGTGTCTGTTGTGGGGAGGGGGCAAACTGATTTATGCAGTAGCCAAATTGCTCACTTACAACTGTAATACCAGTAGCTCACAATGCAGAATTTTTGCTCACAGGACTCCACAGCTTAGAGGGAGCATTGCTCACCGGGTGTCTGTTGTGGGGAGGGGGAGGGAAAAGAGATTGTAAGGCACTCTGAGACTCTCAAGTGAAGGGCGGGGTATAAATCCAATTCTCCTCCTCCTTGCTTTCCTTCTTCCCAGGACGTGTGAGGGGGGAGATATTCCATCTGGCTCCGCCTCTTGCAGAAGCCATTTTGGGTTTGGCCGCACCTCCTATGGAAGCTATTTTTGGGGTGGCACACACTGGCTCCTCGGCTCAAAAAGGTTGCCTCCCCATTTTTGTATTTAAGACTTTTTTTTTAATCCCACCCTTCTACCAAGGGGCATGCCTTGTTCTCCTTCCCTTGTTAAGAGATGCGTGCCCTCAATAAACATTCTCCGCTTCCCTTCATGTGTCCTGTGTTCACTTCCCCCCAGCCGGAAAAGGGGGGGGGGACTTAACCCAGAACAAATCAAATCAAGCACCTAAAGGTTACAAAAACAGAAACATTCAAGCCAAATAATACCATTAGTCAATTAAAAAATTAACAAATGCACGAAAATACATGTGTTTATTTCACAATAGATGAAAAACAGATATTGGCCCGTACTATCAATTTAATTTTTAAACTGACTAACAGTATTGTTTGGCCTGAACACTGATGTTTTCTTAACCTTTAGGTACTTAATTCACTTCCCCCTGCTCAGGTTCCATTGTGGCTCAAGAGATCTTTCACCCAGGAGGGGGCCACAGGCCTGGTCTCTGTATCACCGTGCCTGTTCTTGTCACCTTCGCAGGCCGCTGGCGATGGCCCTGTCCCTACCGCGCACCTTGGGAGAACTCCAGCTGTACCGTGTCCTTCAGCGAGCCAACCTCCTCTCCTACTATGAGACCTTCATCCAGCAGGGCGGCGACGACGTGCAGCAGCTGTGCGAGGCCGGCGAAGAGGAGTTCCTGGAGATCATGGCATTGGTTGGCATGGCGACCAAGCCGCTGCACGTCCGGCGCCTGCAGAAGGCCTTGCGGGAGTGGGCCACCAATCCGGGGCTTTTCAATCAGCCGGTGCCCTCCATACCCGTGAGCAGCATTCCTCTCTTCAAGATCTCCGAGTCCGGGGGGCGCAAATCGCTCACCAACGGGCACGCTAGTCCGGGAGAGACCCCCGCCAAGGCCAGCGCCACCTCTCCTGCCAAGAGCCCCTCGGAGCCAAGAGATAAGCTTTCCCCGTTGGCAGCGATTCAGTGGAGCACCGCCGAGTCAGAAGAGGAAGGAGGGGTGTCCTCACCGGCGGGGCAACCTTTGTCCGCGGAACATCTAGACCCAGAGCTGGTCCAGGCGGTGTCAGAGAGCGCGGAGCGGCTTTTGCGCAGTTGCCCTCGCGGGGGCGACGCTGAGCTGAGGGCCCTCATGAAGATGAACAAGAAGCTGGCCAAAACAGTGGGACATGTCTTCCGCATGGACAACGGGGACCCTCATAAGGAGGAAGAGATCCGACGTCACAGCGCTATCTATGGGCGAGGAGAAGCCCGGCGATGTGAGAGCAAGCAGCTCACGCTGCATGAGGTGGGTCAAGGGGGGGGCAATGGGGGGGGCAGGGAGAATCGGCCAGCAAATTTTAAGCCAAAGGGAGCCCAGGGAACTGTTCGGCTATATCCCATCCTGAATCGGCACTCTTACAGTAGACCAGTCTTGGGCTGTTCTGTCTCCAGAGCTGAAGTAGAGGGAGCCCCCGTGGTGATGGAAAGTGTGGCCAACTTGTGGAAACCCCCCCCCCCCAAGAGGTGTCAAACTCATTTGTTATGAGGGCCAGATCTGACATAAATGTCACTTTGTCAGGCCGGGCCATGGGTGCCATAAAATGTAATGGCAGGTAGAGGAGATATAAACTTTATAAAGGACACAGGCAAACCCAATTAACGATACCATTTTTTACTCAAAATGCAAACCTGCTTAAAACATTGACACTCTTACAGTATTTTCTTAAAGTATCTCCCTGGTGCCCACCCCCCACCTCTACTGCCCATGACTCATTAACATCGGGACTCTATACAGGGACAAAATGCACAGCCAGTTTGGTGTAGTGGTTAAGTGCGCGGAGTCTAATCTGGGAGAACCGGGTTTGATTCCCCACTCCTCCACTTGCTCCTGCTGGATGACCTTGGGTAAGCCCTAGTTCTGTCAGAGCTGTTCTTGAAAAAGAGCAGTTCCTTTCAGAGCTCTCTCAGCCCCACCTCCCTCACAGGGTGTCTGTTGTGGGGAGGGGAAGGGAAAGGAGTTTGTAAGCTGCTCTGAGACTCCTTTGGGTAGTGAAGGGCGGGGTATAAATCCAATCTCCTTCTCCTCCTCCTCTTCTTCTTCTGTCATCTGGCAATAAAGGTAATGACCAGTTGCTTGCAAGCTGGATCAGAGCCCAGGATGGGCCAGTTCTGGCCCGTGGGCCGTATGTTTGATACCCCTGCTGTCAGGTTTCCAAGTAAGAGACGAGCAGAGGTGGTTTTCCATTGCCTGCCTCTGCATAGCAGCCCTGGACTTCCATGGTGGTCTCTCATCCAAATACTAACTAGCTTCTGAGATCTGACAAAATCGGGCTAGCCTGGGCCCATCTAGGTCATGGCAAAACAGCCCTAGCAGAACAGTACCATGGGTCCTGATGCAAAGAGTTTTCCTGTTTACCCATTTTTCTTGGGCAGGGAGTTATCTATTTTAAAAACCGAGATTATGCACTGCACAGCCCGAAAGGGGAAACGTGTAGAATGCAACTGCTATTTATGTCTTAAAACTAGTTCATCAAATGCCTGGGGATTGCTGGTGTGTGTGTGTGTGTATGTGTGTGTGTGGGAGTCATACTTGCTTGTCTCTGGGTTTTTTTTGTTAGTCTAAGATTTTTAAAGTGTAGAGGAAGGTTCCAGCAACAGTGGTACGGAAGGGAGCATTTAGTCTGTTCAGATACATTCAAAAGTGAAATTCAAACTTTTCAGAAGAGCCAGTGTGGTGGAATGGTCATAGTATCCAGCTAGGATCTGGGAGACCCAGGTTCGAATCCCTACTCTGCCATGGAACTTTGCCTAACCTACCTCACAGGGATGTTGTGGGGATAAAAATGGAGGAGAGGAGAACGATGTGAGCTGCTTTGGGTCCCCATTGGGGAAAAATAAAGTAGATAAACAAATCTCAAACTGGCCCATGCCCGCAGGCAGTGTGTCAGTCATCGCCAGTGATGTTACAGATACTAGCCAATACGATGCTGTTGCATTCACAGCATTCAGCAGTACAGTTCTCATGGCCGTGTCTCCCACTTCCCAGGATAACTCTGCTCTTCCTTCTCTCCTCCAAGCTGACCATCAACGAGGCTGCGGCCCAGTTCTGCCTGCGGGACCCTTCCCTGCTGCTGCGCCGAGTGGAGCTCTTTTCCCTGTCACGCCAGGTGGCTCGAGAGAGCAGCTACCTGACTACACTGAAGGGATCCAGGTGAGAATGAGGTAACGAGGAGGCAGAGCCCCAGGGGTGACAGAAGGGACTGTACCACTTCGGCATGCTGGTGGAGGATTTCAGTTTTTAAGGCTCCTTTACCTTTGGGGGGAAAAACGAACTTTGCAAGGATGAAACTAAGCACAGCAGGGCACAAAAGATCCTTCTCCACCCTCTCTGTGCTGGTTTTCTCTCCGCAGGGAGTTCTTAACAGAGCCAGATTGTTGTAGTGGTTAAGAGCGTGGACTCTAATTTGGGAGAACCGGGTTTGATTCCCCACTCCTCCACATGCAGCTGCTGGTGTGACCTTGGGTCAGTCAGAAGTTCTCTCAGAACTGTTCTCTCATGAGCGTTTCTCTCAGAGCTCTCTCAGCTCCACCTACCTCACAGGGTGTCTGTTGTGGGGAGGGGAAGGGAAAGGGATTGTAAGCCGCTCTGAGACTCCTTTGGGTAGTGAAGGGCGGGGTATAAATTCAATCTCCTCCTCCTCCTCCTCCTCCTTCTTCTGCCTCTTCTTCTTGTTCCAAAATGCGCTTCCCCAGCTACAAAGTTAGAGCAGTCCACTGTACCCCCTCAGCATTTGACCACCTAGTTCCCACCATTTTCTCCTGCTTGGGTGAAATCAAGCTGCGGTGTTCAATTTTTCTGTGTTCAAAAAGTCTTCCTCCCCTTTTGGGGGGCATGTGTGGGAACTTTCTGCTGTGGCACAGGAAAATGTCTTCTGCACATGCTCAGGGGCACTTTAATTATGATTTTCCTTCCCTGTTTCCAGTGCAAGCCCTCCTTAAAGCTCAGCTTTTTGAGTCTGGTGGGAATGGGATTTAATGCAAGGGTTATCATCACCTCCTGCATGGTTCTAATATCCTGCGGCGCCAGTTGTCCAAACAGTGTCAGTGTGGACCAGGCAGTGGTGGAGCCTCTGTTTACTATTGGAACGGGCCTGTGATGCTTTCATGAGCCAGGCATTATCCATGCCCAGCGACCTGCCTGGAAGTTTCTTTTGGCCTGCAGGACGTCCAGTTCCATTCCAACATGATGCCTGAGAGGCAGGCAAAATGTATCCATGTTGTGCTGCCTGCACTTGGCATCTTATTTAAACCCAGCTGCTAAGTTTGAATCATAGAGTTGGAAGGAGACCTAGAGGCCATCTAGTCCAACCCCCTGCTCATCAGCCTAAGGAATCTCTAACAAGCATTTGCCCAGCTGCTGCTTGAAGACTGCCAGTGAAGGGGAGCCCACCACCTCCCTAAGCAGTCAGTTCCACTGCTGAACTACTCTTACTGTAAAAAAAAAATCCCTAATAGTCAGCGGGTACCTTTCTGCCCATAATTTGAACCCAGTGTTGCAAGTCCTATTCTCCACTGCCAGCAGGAACAGCTCCCTGCCCCTCCTTTCAGTGACAGCCTTTCAGATACTTGAAGGGAACGATCATGTCCCTCCTCGACCTCTTCTTCTCCAGACTGAATATCCTTGCAAAGCATGCCAAGTTGTCCCCTCCAATATAAGTCCCCGCCTGGGCTACAGAGCCCTGGCATGCTAAATGCTGCTCTGGGTGGGCAAAGGAAGCTTGGTTCAAGCAAAATTCCAGGCGTCCCATGCATCACTGCATGGTTAAGGTCTTTTGGTTCACCAAGCACCATGTGCCAAATCAAGTCACGCGTTGTGGTGTTGTGGATTTCATCCATGCTCAGGCTAGAGGGGATTTCTGGAGCATCATGGCCTGGCAGGGCACGCTGACCCCCTCTTGTCTTTTGTTTTCAGACTGCATCCGGACGAGGGTGGCGCTGGGCAAGCCAAGAGACTCAAGCAAGAGGTAAGCCTTGGAAGAAGGCTTTTGTGTGTGTGTGTGTGTTTGTGTATGTTTGTGTGAGAGATTGCAGTTCCTACCGTAATGTATGTAAACCACTCTGAACACTCAAAAAAGTGCTGTATATTAGTATACAGATGCTCACATATATAGAAGCGGGTTGGTGTTTGTTAGGGCAGGGTCCCCAACAGGCGTGTAGCCAGAAAAATGTGGGTGGTGGGCAGTGTTCCCTCTAAGCTGAATTAGTGTCAGCTAGCTCATAGTTTCTAATCATCCGGCTCACACATTTTTGTCTTGGCTCAGGGAGGATGGGCTCCAGAGCAAACTAATTGATGCAGCAGCCAAATCGCTGGCTCACAGCTTCAATGGCAATAGCTGACAAAGTAGGAGTTTTGCTCACAAGACTCCACAGCTTAGAGGGAACATTGGTGGTGGGGCATTGGGAAATCCAGTAAGGCAGGGCAGCTGGGGGGGGGGGAAGGGAGAGCGGCAAGCCTGCCCACAGAAGAGGAAGAGGGCTTGGCTCGGTGGCGGTGGCCTCACTGCACCTGCGCCAACTCAGCCATGTAACCCGCCATCATGTGACTTGGGCTGGCTCAGCTGGCACAGTGAGGCCCCCCGGCTGCCAAGTCGAGTCCTCTTCCTCTTCTGCGGGCAGGCTCACCCCTCGCAGTTTTAGCGGCATTTAAAAGGGGGAGCCGAGTCCTCTTCCATGTTTGAAAGGGGGAGCCATGCTCATTGGTGGGGGGGGGGCATTGCCCCCAAATGCCCCCGCCAGTGGCTACAGGCCCGGTCCACAACGTGGAGCCTGTGGAAACCACGGTGCCCACCATCTTTCTTGGTGCCTGCCAAGTGGTTTTTTTTAAAAAAATGGGTGGGGCTTTTGCCCAGCAAGGTTTCTGATTGGTTGATGGAGATTTGATTGGCTGTGCAGATTTTTTTTTTTTTTAAATGTTGCTTTGGCAGCAGCTGCCACCACAGCACGAGGATTTTCTTCACTGTGTGACTGAAGGTGAGCTGTGGCAGCCATTTCGTGTATAGTGACCATAGTGACCCTGGACTTCCTTGATGGTCTCCCGTCCAAACACTGACCAGGGCCGACCCTGCTTAGCTTCCGAGATCTGACAAGCTAGCCTGAGCTATCCAAGTCAGGACCTGTGTGCAATTCTGGTCACCACACCTTAAAAAGGATATTATAGCTTTGGAAAAAGTGCAGAAAAGGGCAACTCGAATGATAAAAGAGTTGGAACACTTTCCCTATGAGGAAAGGTTAAGGCGCTTAGGGCTCTTTAGCTTGGAGAGACGATGACTGAGTGGTGACATGATCGAGGTTTATAAGATAATGCATGGGAAAGAGCAGGTAGAGAAAGAGGTACTTTTTTCCCTTTCTCACAATACAAGAACTCGTGGGCACTCCATGAAATTGCTGAGCAGTCGGGTTAGAACGGATAAAAGGAAGTACTTCTTCACCCAAAGAGTGATTCAGACATGGAATTCACTGCCACAGGAAGTGGTGGCGGCTACAAGCATGGACGGCTTCAAAAGGGCATTAGATAAGCATATGGAGCAGAGGTCCATCAGTGGCTATTAGCCACAAGGTATAGATAGGGGCTCTGGGGCAAGTGATGCTCTGTCTTCTTGGTGCTTGGGGGGGGTCAACAGTGGGATGGCTTCTAATGTCCTGGCCCCCCCGGTGGGCCTCCTGATGGCACCTGGTATTTCTGGGCACTGTGTGACACAGAGTGTTGGACTGGATGGGCCTTTGGCCTGATCCAACATTGGCACCTCTTATGTTCTTATGTTCTTATTATGTGTTCCTTATTGTAAGCTTTTTGAACCTCATTTTCCCATTAAGAATAACAGCCACAAGGAGGTTTACCTTAAAGCGCTGACAACGACACAAGGGAAAACAGTAAAACCGCCAGCACTAAGGACCAAATTGGCAATTAAAACCATAGATTTAATTTATTCTGTAGACCTCCATCTATGACACACAGGATAAGAACATAAGAAGAGTCCTGCTGGATCAGACCAGTGGTCCATCCTGTCTCACACAGAGGCAGGGCCAACAACAACGCATAGGGGCCAAGACCTTCCCCTGATGTTGCCTTCTGGCTCTGGGATTCAGAGGGCTAGTGCCTCTGAACATGGCGTCTCCCCTTAGTCACCATAGCTAGTAGCCATTGATAGACTTATCTTTCATGAATCTGTCTAGTCCCCTTTAAAGCTGTTTATTCCTGTGGCCATTACTACATTCTCTGGCAGCAAATTCCACATTTTAACCTCTCTGTGTAAAGTAGTATTTCCTTTTGTCTGTCCAGAACCTACTGCCCATCAGCTTCATGGGATGCCCTCGAGTTCTAGTATTTTGGGAGAGGGAGAAACATTTCTCTTTGTCTCCACTCCATGCATCATTTTATAAACCTCTATCATGTCGTCTCTTTTCTAAACGGAGACGTCCCAGACTCTTCAGCTGTTCGTCACAGGGAAGTTGCTTCAACCCCCCAATCATCTCTGTTGCCCTCCTCTGTACTTGTTCCAGCGCTGCAGTGTCCTTTCTGAGATACGGTGACCAGAACTGTACTCAGTATTCCAAATGAGGCCGCACCATAGATTTATACAGGGTCATAACAACAGCAGCCATTTTCTTCTCAATCCCTTTCCTAATAATTCCTAACATGGAATTTGCCTTTTTCACTGGTGCAGCGCACTGGGCGGACACTTCCATTGAGCTATCCGAACCAAAGGTCTTGACAGACCCCAAGATCTTTTCCCCTCAGTCTCAGCAAGTTCAGACCCCATTAGCCTATACTTGAAGTCGGGATTCTTTGTCCCAGTGTACACTTACACTTACCAACATGGAACTTCATTTGCCCCGCTGTCACCCACTCAGCCAGTTTGTGGAGGTCTTCTTGGAGCTCTTCACAGTCAGTCTTGAGCCTATTATGCATGGGCGTTTTCCTTTGCTTTCACCATCCATGTCCGTTGGGTTATCTTTATCATTCTATATTGATTTCCCTCCCTTCAGCGCTCAGTTCGCTTTCTGGACAGCTGTGCCAGAGCTTGTGACTGACCCAAGGTCACATCAGCAGCTGCAAGTGGAGGAGTGGAGAATCAAACCCGGTTCTCCCAGATTAGAGTCCGCGCACTTAAGCACTATACCAAACTGGCAGTCCTCTTGGAGCTCTTCACAGTCAGACTTGGTTTCCACCATCCTGAATACTTTTGTGTCATCTGCAAACTTGGCCACTACACTACTCGGCCCCTGGTTCCAGATCTGTGGTTCTGCTGCTTCAGGCCAATAGGGCTACCCCACCTGGATTTTATCTTTGATTACGGATGTGAGGGAGATCTGGCTGCGACATCTGTCACCCCACTGATCGCCAGGGTTGATTCGGCTGATCGGGCTGGCTAGGCAGGTGTCCCCTACCGCCCTCACTGCTTCATGTGGGTCCCTCCCAAAGCTGCACGCTCGGTCGAAGAGGGCGACCATCCCAGATAGAAGGAGTGTCCCGTTCTTCGGTCAAGGGTATACAATAGCTGCGCTCCCCTGCTAGAATCTCCAGACAAGCTCAAGAATGAATCTTTGGCTGAGTTCAGACTGGCAGTTTGAAGCGGGAGGGAGTCGTGGCAAAAAAGACCCGGAACAGTTTTCCCGTTCACAGTGCAGCGACTGATGCGGGAGCATACCAGGAGGAGGTACAAGGGAGCGTTCACACTGTTGGCCCGGAGGCACAGCTGTACGGCACGGCTTTCTTTTTCGTAATCTGGAGATATGCGCTTATGCGCATGAGTGCATAAGAAAAACTGCGGCTTTTGGCGTTCACACTTTGTTGGTGCGGGATGGATGCGGGATAATCGCGCTTTCCAGGTTTTGCTACCACTTTCACCAGGTATCTTTTAAACTCGGGAGCGAAGCATTATAAGACGGGTTGAGTATGGGTGGGGAACGCCTGACAGATGTGCCTGTGTGAACGGCCCATTTAATCCGGTTGTGGAACGTTTCTGAAACGCACGTATATCGGGGCAAACTGCCAGTCTGAACTCAGCCTTTGATTACAGTTTCTACTAATTTGCCTGGGACAGATATTAGGCTGACTGGCCTGTAATTTCCAGGTTCCCTTCTGGATAACTTCTAAAAAATTGGTGTAACATTGGCTACTCTCCAGTCTTCTGGAACAGCGGCTGAATAGGTTACATATACGGGTTAGTAGATCAACTATCTCACATCTGAATCCCTTAAGAACTCTTGGGTATATGCCATCCTATGAGGAAAGGTTAAGGCGCTTAAGGCTCTTTAGCTTGGAGAAACGACGACTGAGGGGTGACATGATTGAGGTTTATAAGATTATGCATGGGAAAGAGCAGGTAGAGAAAGAGGTACTTTTCTCCCTTTCTCACAATACAAGAACTCGTGGGCACTCCATGAAATTGCTGAGCGGTCGGGTTAGAACGGATAAAAGGAAGTACTTCTTCACCCAAAGAGTGATTAACACATGGAATTCACTGCCACAGGAAGTGGTGGCGGCTACAAGCATGGACGGCTTCAAAAGGGAATTAGATAAGCATATGGAGCAGAGGTCCATCAGTGGCTATTAGCCACAAGGTATAGATAGGGACTCTGGGGCAAGTGATGCTCTGTCATCTTGGTGCTTGGGGGGGGGTGTCAACAGTGGGAGGGCTTCTAATGTCCTGGCCCCACTGGTGGACCTCCTGATGGCAACTGGTATTTCTGGCCACTGTGTGACACAGAGTGTTGGACTGGATGGGCCTTTGGCCTGATCCAACATTGGCGTCTCTTATGTTCTTATGTTAGGACCTGGGACTTTTCGGTTTTTAATTTCCCCAATAGGTCTAGAACTTCATCTCGGGTCACCTCAATATGGCCCCAGTTCTTTTGATTCCTTTCCTAAAAACGGGCTGTGGCATGGGCACGTGCCCCGCACTTTCCACAGGGAACACAAAAGCAAACCAGTCACTGAGCTTCTCTACCATCTCCCCGTCTTCCTTTAGCAATCCCTTCATTCCTTTGTCATGCAAAGGCCCCACTGCTTCTATGGCTGGTTTCCCACTCCAGATATATTAAAAATGCAGTACAAATGTGTGTGCGTGCGTACAGATCTCTTGTGAATGCTGGTACTGTGCATAAACTCACGTGTATATAATTTTGTGTGTATAATCAAAATTAATGTCTGCCTATCCGGGATGTGTTTGTAATACACATTCTGAGCCATTCAGGCTTTCAGTGCTTGCATGCGTCTTTATGTATACAGACTGTACTCCTTATGTGTTGTCAGGAATGTACATGTGCTGGAAAATTCTATTAACCTGGGGTTTTCCCTGATAGATGGGTAATATAGAATTGGAGATAGATGCTCTCGGTGCACCATTCGAGCTGGGTTTTTTTTATGTTCGGCCCATTTCAGAGAGAGAGAGAGAGAGTCCTTCATTCCTTTGTCATGCAAAGGCCCCCCTGCTTCTATGGCTGGTTTCCCACTCCAGGTATATTAAAAATGCAGTACAAATGTGTGTGCGTGTGTGTGCACAGATCTCTTGTGAATGCTGGTACTGTGCATAAACACATGTGTATATAATTTTGTGTTTATAATCAAAATTAATGTCTGCCTATCCGGGATGTGTTTGTAATACACATCCTGAGCCATTCAGGCTTTCAGTGCTTACGTGCGTCTTTATGTATACAGACTGTACTCCTTATGTGTTGTCAGGAATGTACATGTGCTGGAAAATTCTATTAACTTGGGGTTTTCCATGATAGATGGGTAATATAGAATTGGAGATAGATGCTCTTGGTGCACCATTTGAGCTGGGTTTTTCTTATGTTCGGCCCATTTCCCTGGTGTGCAGCCACAAACGAGGTCTTTAGGATTCTTAGCATCACCTCCAGTTCAGAGAGAGAGAGAGAGCGCACAGTGCCTCCCACTTTACTTGGGCTGCTAATGCAGCTGTTGCAATGAGACTTGGAATGAGTTTTGTTCCTGGGCACAGCCCTGGTAGGTGCCTCCCACAAATACCCTGCTTTGTCTTAGTTGAGTCTAGACTGACATATCCAGCAAAGCTGGCACTGTCATTGGAAACACCGTGGAGGTCCGTTCCTTGGCGCACGTGGGATGTGATCTCATTGGTCTTTGCTGGGCGATACTGGAAATCCAAGATACCATTTTTATCGGAGGGAAGGGGTAGTAGTGGATATGGTGCAGGAGGAGGGATGGGTAGTCAGGTGGGTCGCATTCACCAATCTGACATCTTCTCTCCCGGCAGGTTGCAGAGCACAGCCGGCCTGATCTTCCCTTGGTCTGCGAACCGTTCATTCCTCAGTACCGGTCCAGCATAGAGGAGGATACCGCCAGCTTGTCAGGGGAAAGCTTAGACGGACACCCACAAGGTGAGGGGGCTGGCTACCTTGTTCCGCTTAGGTCTTCCAGCTGCAGGGAACAGTGAGGTAGGAGGCTGCGGGGGGCGGAGCAGGCGGAAGATGGGTTTTCATCTCACAGGCTTCCATAGAGGCTGATGTAATTCATGCACAACAAACCCCTTCCGTTTTATTGGAGGGCTTGTTTCGACTGCACCGATCTGCTTGTTCTTTGCAAGCTGGGAACGTGCTTGGACTTGTGTATAGTTTAGGTTCCTATTCTTCTGCTTCTTCTCTGTGCTTAACCCCGAGCTGCATCTGATAGAGTCTTTTATCTTGAATGATTGTGTGCACTGCCTGTACGCTTTGCCACCCTTAGTTTCATCACACCTGCCTCTTTCCCAGACTATCATGTCTTAAAGTAGAACAGAGTTTGAGTCCGGTGGCACCTTTAAGAACCACAAAGGTTTATTCAAGGTATGAGCTTTTGTGTGCGCGCGCACTTCTTCAGAGACAGTGGAATGGGAGCTGAGGTTCAAGCTTATAGACGGGCAGAACAGCAAATCAACATGTAACACGATGAGGATGTTTTAAGCTATGCAAAAACAGAACTAAATAACAAGCTAAGGTTTACAAGGTCAACAGTTGTAAAGCAATAAATATGTCAAAATAAATCTGCGACTCTCCATTCAACTCTCAGAGCGTGGAGGTCACTTGGATAAACCTTTGTAGGTCTTAAAGGCGCCACTGGACTCTAAATTTGTTCTACTGCTTCAGACCAACACGGCTGACTACCTAGGGGGAATCTGCATTTGTCTTTCCCACCAGTGTCCCAGCCTTTTGACTCCGTCTTCAAAAAAGCTGTCCACATTTGGTGTCGTTTTCACACCTCAAGAGTGCTAGCATACTTTTGCATGTCCACATATGTTTATCGTCCTTTTGGGGCAGCTCCACTGTCACTGCACCTCCACACTGCTTTAAAAGAATCTTCTCCAAACAACATTCAAACAAGCATAGAGAAAGACGGCATCACAGCAGCACGAAAATGATTTAAAAATGCAAATGCAGATTCGGCCCTAGTCTTATTCAAAGTGTAAGCTTTTGTGTGCGAAGCACGCTTCTTCAGACAAATGGAACGAAATCTCCTCTAGGGTTACTTACAGGGGAAAAGGAGGGTGGGGAGCAGTCGTGAGGAGGGGCCACTCAGAACCAAGATGCAGACGCAGAGCTGAAATTGGATCAGGTGGCCGGTGAGATCATGGCAGCAAATTCTCACATAAAGGCAAGAGTTAAAGAGATGTGAGAATGAAGCTAGAGTCCAGCAGTACCCCCAAGACAAAAGTAGACCAGTTGCTGGTCCAAAGGTGTGGTGGTTTCACTCCTGTGTCAAAATCTCCTTGTTGGGTATATCCCTGTTACCTAAGCTAGCTTCACTCTCACAGTTTCTCCTCATAACATCAGAAGAGCCCTGCGGGATCAGACCAGTGGTCCATCTAGTCCAGCATCCTGTCTCACTTTGTGGCCAACCAGTTCCTCTGGAGGGCCGACAACAGGGCATGGAGGCCGAGGCCTTTCCCTGATGTTGCCTCCTGGCTCTGGGATTCAGAGGCTGACTGCCTCTGAACGTGGAGGTTCCCCCGAGTCCTCGACAGAACTGCAGTTGGGTGAAGGGGCTGTGGCTCACTGGTCTAGATTTCCCTCCACCTTCCAAAATAAGCATTTCTATGGTGTTCAGTGGAGGCAGTGATAAGCATTGTTGGTGTAAAATGACTTTACATTTGCAGATGCATCCCAAGTTTCCTATGTTGTACTTTTCCTTCCAGTTTTGGAAAGGCCAGTTTGGTGTAGTGGTTAAGAGTGGCGGACACTAATCTGGAGAACGGGGTTTGATTCCCCACTCCTCCACATGCAGCCAGCTGGGTGACCTTGGGTCAGTCACAGTTCTCTCAGAGCTGCTCTCTCAAGAGCCGTTCTCTCAGAGCTCTCTCAGCCCCACCTACCTCACAGGGTGTCTGTTGTGGGGAGGGGAAGGGAAGGTGATTGTCAGCCGCTCTGAGACTCCGAGTGAAGGGCAGGGTACAAATCCAATCTCCTCCTCTTCTTCTGTTTCCAAAATTAATAATCTGCCAACTGGATTCAGATTCTTGCTGGGAACTCCCAGAGGACTCTTCAGTTGGAGAAGTGGCCGTAGTCCAGGAAGAGAACATGCATTTGGCTTGCGCGTCCCATGTCCGGTCCCCACGTGGAGAATTTCCGGTTCAGTCCCTGGCGTTTCCAGTTGAAAGGATCGGGTCCAGGGTGGTGGGAAACAAGGCTCCCTCTAAGCTGTGGAGTCTTGTGAGCAAAAATTCTTCCTTGTGAGCCACTGGCATTACAGTTGTGAGCGAGCGATCTGGCTACTGCATGAATTAGCTTGCTCTGGAGCCCTCCTTCCTGAGCGAAGACCAAAATGTGTGAGCCGGAGGCTAAAAAACTGTGAGCTAGCTCACACTAACTCATCTCAGAGGGAACACTGGTGGGAAAGGCCTTTGCCTGAGACCCCGGAGAGCTGCTGCCAGCCAGAGTGGACAACCTGTGGTCTGACCCAGGATAAGGCAGTTTCACGTGTCTCCGCTGGTGACCGTGGAGAGCTGCTGCCAGTCTGATTAGAATAACAAATCATGCAACTGCTGCAATAAGTTCAAAAATTACAGAACAATGACAATCAAATGTAGGCTTATTCTGATGTATTATTTCAAATTTCTTCTTTTATTCCATTGGTCAAATGACGAACATCTCGAGTTTCCAGAGTTCGTTTCGAGTTCTTTATCAAAATTCTGTGTTGTGGTGGTATTTTTCAAACAATCCAATAGTAGGAATCTCAATTTCCAAATGGCTATGAAATAGCTCCCATGTTAGCCAGAAGTTTTCCCAGACACTGTCCATTGTTGAGAAACTTCTGGCTAACATGGGAGCTATTTCATAGCCATTTGGAAATTGAGATTCCTACTATTGGATTGTTTGAAAAATACCACCACAACACAGAATTTTGATAAAGAACTCGAAACGAACTCTGGAAACTCGAGATGTTTGTCATTTGACCTATGGAATAAAAGAAGAAATTTGAAATAATACATCAGAATAAGCCTACATTTGATTGTCATTGTTCTGTAATTTTTGAACTTATTGCAGCAATTGCATGATTTGTTATTCTTAGATTGCTGTGCCCTCGATTGTATCGCCAGTCTGATTAGAGTCACAGGCTGCAACCCCCCCCCTAGAGTAGACAATCCTGAGCTAGATAGACCAGCGATCTGATTCCAGAATCTGTTCCATGCGCAAAGAGAGCGAATGCATCCTGACACAACTGCCTCTTTGCTTGTCCTAACTTGGCTGTCTACTTCTCAACCCGCCGCATCTACTTTGGCACGGCTGCAGCTGAGCCTGCGTGCTGATAAGAGCGCAACCAAGCCCTGCATGTCTCGGCACGGAGGAGTACCTCCCGATGCCTTTCAGATAAGGCGGCATCATGTATCGTACCGGGCTTGTCAGGGAAGGCGTGGCAAACTTTCCTGCTACACAGAAATGAAATGCTGCCAAGCTCTTAGCGGCACAGAGGTTTCCAAGAGGGTTTGGAAGTGCTCCTAAATTGCAGGCGCATGGAGGTGCAAGTAATGCGCTGACCAGTGTTCCCTCTAAGCTGTGGAGTCCTGTGAGCAAAAATTCTACTTTGTGAGCTTCTGGCATTAAAGTTGTGAGCAATTGATTTGGCTACTGCCTAAATCAGTTTGCTCTGGAGCCATCCCTTCCTGAACTAAGACAAAAATGTGTGAGCCGGAGGCTAAAAAACTGTGAGCTAGCTCACACTAACTCAGCTTAGAGGGAACACTGGCGCTGACCCTCCCTGCCATTCCCAGCACGGGAGAGTAGCCCGGCATGAACCCCATATAATTGTTGCTTAGTAGCCAGTTGGGATGGTTTCCAAAGTAGAAGAAGATCCTCTAGGCGACTTAGGTATGTGAGTGCCGTAAAGTCTCACCTGACTTACGGCCACCCCAGCAAAGCGAGGGAGAAGCAGAGGAGATTGCAAAGCGAGGGAGAAGCAGAGGAGGGTTTGCCTTTGCCTTCCTCTGCAGAGCCTTCCTTGCTGGTCTCTCTTCCAAGAACTGACCTTGCTTAGCTTCCGAGATCTGATGAGATCTGGCGATACGAATGCCCTTCCCTCCTCTGCTATGCAAAGGGCAACCTAAATGTGACAGGGGAAATCCGATCACAGATCCCCTGCATATTTTGTTAGCTACTAAAAGCAGCTGCAGAGGGTATTATCTAGACTGGAGCCCTGGAGCTGTGGAAGGGAGTCCCGCACCATTAGAATCACAGAGTCACAGAGCTGGAAGGGGCCAGGCAGGCCACCTAGTCCAACCCCCCCTGCTCAATGCAGGATCAGCGTAGAGCATCCCTGACACGGGTTTGTCCAGCCGCTGCTTGAAGACTGCCAGTGTGAGGGAGCCCACCACCTCCCTAGGCAGCCGATGCCACTGTTGCACAACTCTGACTGTCAAAAAGGTTTTCCCTAAGATCCAACCGGTACCTTCCCGCCCTTAATTTAAACCCATTGTTGCGAGTCCTATCCTCTGCTGCCCACAGGAACAGCTCCCCGCCCTCTTCTAAGAAGTGAGAGCCCTTCAAATACTTCAAGAGAGCCATCATGTCCCCCCTCAGCCTCCTCTTCTCCAGACTGAACACTCCCAAATCCCTCAGCCTTTCCTCACAGGGCTTGGTCTCCAGGCCCCTGATCATCTTTGTCTCTCTCTTCTGCATCCGCTCCGTTCTATCTACATCCTTCTTTAAGTGAGGACTTCAGAATTGTTCAAATCCCACCCCTCCCTCGTAACTGGTATTTGCTCCACAGTGGGAAACAGACAGGTATAATTCCCATGCGTCCATTGGTAGCATGGCAAGCTGCCACTCATGTGTGCCTGTAGCAAGGCTCTTGTTTCAGTGGGCTGCTTAGTGTGCCAACTTTCAGGTTATACAGATATCCTCAGCTGGCAGAAAGGAAAGGTAGCTGTTCCCCCCCCCCCATGCATATGTGTGTTTGCGAAGACAAATTCATTCCAAAAAGATCTTCCCGTGCTTCATTTTGTATTTCACTACCCAAATGGCCATATTTACAATGGATGAGATTTGTCTGGAGGGCGGTTGTCTGGAGGGGAGGTCTTTTAAGTTCGGGGATGGGATGTGGCTCCGTGGTTGAGTGCCTGCATTGTGTGCGGAAGGTCCCAGGCATCTCTCCCGTTGAGATCGCTGGCATTTCCAGTTGGAAGACGCAGGTCGTAGACAGTGTTCCCTCTAAGCTGAGTTAGTGTGAGCTAGCGCACAGTTTTTTAGTCTCCAGCTCACACATTTTTGTCTTAGCTCAGGAAGGATGGGCTCCAGAGCAAACTAATCTATGCAGTAGCCAAATCACCTGCTTATAACGTTAATGCTGCTAGCTCACAAGGGAGAATTTTTGCTCACAGGACTCCACAGCTTAGAGGGAACATTGGTCGTAGATGATGTGGAATCCCTCCCCCTGAGGCTCCAGAACAGAGATGTCAAACTCATTTGTTATGAGGGCCACATCTGACACAAATGGCACTTTGTTGGGCTGTGTGCGCCATAAAATGTAATGCTCCTAAATTATATCCCGTAGATATAAATTATATCCCATAGATATAAATTTTATAAAGGACACAGGCAAACCCAAGTAATAATAATTTTTTTAACTCAAAATACAAACAAAAGCAATGGATTCCAGCAGTGAAAGCGATTGATTTACAGGGGAGCCCACAAAAGTGCCAATAAATGCATTGAATCATATGCAAGACTTGTTTTTTTCCCCAAGGGATTCCATAAAAGGGGGAGCACCCAGGGCTCTTTTTGTAGAAAAAGCCCAGCAGGAACTCATTACCATAATAGGCCACAACCAACACCAGAAACTAATTAGCATATTAGGCCACACCCCTGCCAGCACAGCTCATTAGCACATTAGGCCACACACCCCATGTTACCAGAAGTGTGGTTATCCAGCCACACCCACCTTTTGCTTGTTATTCTGTTTACCTTGTTTGTTGTCAAAACCCAGGGCCTTTTTTGTAGCAGGAACTCCTTTGCATGTTAGGCCACACACCCCTAATGTAGCCAATCCTAATGAGTTTCTGCTGTTGGGCGTGGCCTATTATGCTAATGAGTTCCTGCTGGGTGTGGCCAACTCAGGAGCCAGCCGGAACTCCGTTCCTGTGCGTTCCTGCCCAAAAATAGCCCTGGGATCACCTTATAGCCCCACACATACCTCTTGCTTGTGGGCCGGGTAAGAGCCCCGGACGGGCCAGTTCCAGCCCCCGGGCCTTACGTTTGACACCCCTGAGACTCTAGAGAAAACACAGTTACACGCAGAGAAAACAATACTGACCCCGAGAGACCTGACAGTGGCCTGACTAGGTATAAAGCGGCCTTGTGTGTTTGTTATCAAGGGGAGCAGCTGTGGCTCAGAGGTAGAACATCGGTTCTGCCTGCCGGGGCCCCCCAAAGTTCAGTCCCCGGCATCTCCAATGGAAAGGGTCAGTCGGCAGGTGATGGGAAAGACCTCCGCCTGATGTGCTGCTGTCAAACACTAATGATTTTATGGTGACCCTATGAATGAGTGCCCCCCCCAAAAAAATGTTCTATTGTTAGCAGCCTTGCTCAGGTCTGGCAAATGGAAGGCCACAGCTTCTTTCTTTGTGGGGTATTTTTGCATTTTGTGTGCGCGCCCGTGCCCGGAAGTCATGGTGCCCTCTGGCGACTCCTACTGGGGCATGGAGGACGTTTCAGAGAGGTGGCTTGATGATGAAGAAGAAGAAGAAGAAATTGGATTTATACCCCGCCCTTCACTTGGAGTCTCAGAGCGGCTTACAATCTCCTTCCCCTTCCCCTCCCCACAGCAGACACCCTGTGAGGTGCGTGGGGCTGAGAGAGCTCTGACAGAAACTGCTCTTTTTCAAGGACAGCTGTGCCAGAGCTTGTGACTGACCCAAGGTCACCCAGCCAGGTGCAAGTGGAGGAGTGGGGAATCAAACCCGGTTCTCCCAGATTAGAGTCCGCGCACTTAACCACTACACCAAACTGGCACCAAACTTGATAGCCCGCCTCTGCCTCCCAACCCTGGTATTCCTTGGAGGTCTCCCATCCAAGTACTTGGCCGGGGTCAGCTCTGCTTAGCTTCCGAGATCTGACGAGATCGGGCTGGCCGGGGCTATCCAGGTCAGGCCTTGGCTTCCTCGACTGAGTCCCTCTGTCTCACGTTGGGTCTTCCTCTTCCCCTCCTGCCTTCCACTTTCCCAGTTAGTCTCATCTTCTCACGGCACAGGAGTAGGGAGGGTGATTTGGAGAGCCATTTTGACCACGTGCGGCCGCTGGCTCAGCCGCCACAAGCAAGGAGGAGACCACCCCCCCTTGTTGATTCTCAATCTCTCGCTCCCTCCGCAGCCACGGGCTCCTGTCCTCGGCTGACTCCGCCCCCCAACGCCGCCTCTGACGCACTGCTGGGCCTCCCGCCCCACGGGCTGTGGAGCCGCCACATCCTGCAGCAGACCCTGATGGACGAAGGCCTGCGGCTGGCGCGGCTGGTCTCTCACGAGCGGGTGGGACGGCTCAGCCCGTGCCTACCGGGCAAGACTCAAGGGACAGGTGAGTGACCCTTTCCCCCCTCCTGGGCTTCCAGCAGAGTTTGGGGAGCAGCACGGGTCTGGGACGGCAAGGGGCTGAATCCTCCACCATCAAATAATGAGAATACACCGGGGGGGGAGGGGGATGGCGAGAGGCGCATGATTCAGCATTGAGAGAGACATTTAACACCTGCACTGTGCAATGAAGAGCCGCCTTTCTTCTGAACGACCAGTTGCTGAAATCTGACTCCGTTCCAAGCAACTCACCAGAGGGAGATCTTCCGGGAGCTCAGAAGGAGGACACACCTGTGCCCAGTCGTAGGAAGGCTGGCAAGCGTGGGAAGGCCGCTCTCTATTTTGGGGGCCCTTGTTTCTTGCAGAGCCTTGTGGTTTTTGCCTGAAACACGTGGGTTGGTGCCAGGCTCATCTTGCCACTCAAGGGGGCTCACGATTCATTGTTGCCCAGGAAACTGGTCCCAAGGAAAAACAAGGAGGCGATCTTACAGAATACAGGGACGGCCAGCTTTGTACGTACATACATACATACATAAACCTTTATTGGCATAACACCGCAACAAGAAGGGCAGTGAAACGGTTAGAAAAATAAATAAACAAATTAATAGGTCATGGCAAATTACACCAAGCTGCCCCAACAAAAGATCATTTAGAAGCTTCTCGTAAATAATATACTCCGTTAAAAATATAACAGTTCTAAAAGAACACAGGGGGATTAAGACTTGTACGCCCTTACCCTAAGCTTCCAGACACAGGCTAAGAATTCGGCAACAGACAAAGTAAGCGCCGAGAACTTATCAGACAATAAGATTTTAAGATCTTTGTCAGTCGGATTCCTTGTAGTAGGTAAATGGGGGCTAATCAGCTTTGTAAACCTGGGGGATTGGGGGGTGGGGTGGGAAATGTCTGTGTATTTTAGCCTTCCAGTGCTGGGGAATTTGACCCTTTTGGGATAGCTCCACTTTTAAAATCATTACTTATTAAACGTATGGATCACACCATCCCTACTATCGTAGGGCTCTGGGCGATGTACATAGTATTAAAAAGAGTCACCAAATGAAACAATTGAACATATTAAATTACAAGAGAGCCAGTTTGGTGTAGTGGTTAAGTGCGCGGACTCTAATCTGGGAGAACCGGGTTTGATTCCCCACTCCTCCACTTGCACCTGCTGGTGTGACCTTGGCTCAGTCACAAGCTCTGGCACAGCTGTCCTTGAAAAAGAGCAGTTTGTGTCAGAGCTCTCTCAGCCCCACCCACCTCACGGGGTGTCTGTTGTGGGGAGGGGAAGGGAAAGGAGTTTGTAAGCCGCTCTGAGACTCCAAGTGAAGGGCAGGGTATAAATCCAATCTCCTCCTCCTCCTCCTCCTCCTCCTCCTCCTCCTCTTCTTCTTCTTTAAAAAAACAGATGGCGAGTAGTGATGCCTAGAATGAATTATTCCCCTATTGCAGACTGCCAGCCATTTCTCTGGCAGGGGGAAAGAAGATGGAACAAGCATGGAAAACTGAGGAGGGTGCCAACTAAGGTGACAGCCATCACTGTCCTCAACCAAAAGCCTGGCGGACCATCTCTGCCTTGCAGGCTCTGTGGAATTTCATAAGGTCCCGCAGGGCCCTGATGGAATTTGGCAGAGAGTTCCACCAGGTTGGGGGCCAGGACCGAAAAGGCCCTGGCCCTGGCCAAGGACAGCCAGATATCTTTAGGGCCGGCACCCCAAGGGTATAGGTCACTGGTTGCTTGAGATGGAGTATTGGAGTAGATGGGCTTTGCATGGCCATTCTTGTGTCCTTACATCAAATGGGCTAATATGGTACGGCTTTTTCGTACATTATACTTTTCCTTTCTCCCATCGAAGCTCTTGAGCGGCAGAAATAGCTATAGCAAAGGTTGAAAGGACGGGGAAAAATTAGCTACAGACTAAGTAATTTGGGGTTGAAGTTGAAGTTGAAAGTTCAGAACGGCAAGCTAAGAAAGGAATAATACAGAGAGCTCTAAGATATTCATAAATTGGACACTGGAGAAAAATATGAAAAGCGATCTCAATCTATATATCTAATTCTCAACAGTCCCCTCTGCATGCAGGTACTTATTTCTGCAGCTAGGGGGCACAGTTTCCCTCAACAGGTTTTTCTACAGACTCAGGGGACTCCATGGGTTTGCTGAAAAATCCAAAAAGTTTTTTTTAAAAAACCCACTTCAGGGAGGGTTGAATTCCCCCCAATACCTTTACTCTAGGCCCCACCATATCAACAGTAAGAGGGGGAGGAGAGGGCAGGAAGCAAAAGCAGGACTGGATCTCGGATTGGGGGGGATGGCAGGGCACTTTCCAGGCCTATTTTGGAGCCAGGCCTTGGACTAGGATTGCCTGCTCCAGGTTGGGAAATTCCTGGAGATTCTGTGGTAAAGTCTGAGGAGTGCAGAGCTTGGGGAGGGGAGAGGCGTCCGCTGGATATAATGCCAGAGTCCACCCGTTTTCTCCAGGGGGACAGATCTCTGTTGTCGGGAGTTCAGTTGTCATTAGGGTTGCCAAGTGACTCACCAAAATAAGCGGGGGAGAGTTGGTCCTGTTCCAGGACATAGAGTTTTTAGTGTGGTTGCTAGAGCGTCACCCGACGACATGCCCAGTGTGATGACATCGCTTCCGGGTGACGTCATCATGCTGGGCATGTCGGCCTGATCTGGCCACTTCGGGGGTGGGGTTCCCCCCGCCGGCCAGACCTGGACCGGCGGATTGGGGACCCTTTTAGCGGGGGAATCCCTGCCCCCCCGGGGGGACTTGGCAGCCCTAGTTGTCATTCTGGGGGAGCTCCAGCTCCCACCTGGAGGCTGGCAAACCTGGGCCTAGCAGCACCCTCTGGGTGACTTGAGATCACCTGACTTGCATGATTCAACTAGGCCTGGCTGCTTGCTGCTGTTCAGCAGCAGCCACCTTATGAAAGTCAGTGTAGCATCATGGTCAGAGCTTCAGAGCAGGGTTTGCAAGGCCCAGGTTTAGATCCCCATCTTGCTGTGGAAGCTCACTGGGTGATTTTGGACCAGTCGCATACGAGACCTTCCCCGACTGGAGAACGGTGGGGAAAAGGAAACAGCAGACAAAAAGATAAGAGATATGGGTGCTTCAGGGGTCCAAAGTGAGGAATATACCTTGGTACTATCTTCTTAAAGGAGAGAAGAAGAGATTGGATTTATACCCCGCCCTTCACTACCCAAAGGAGTCTCAGAGAGGCTTACAATCTCCTTTCCCTTCCCCTCCCCCCAACAGACGGCCTGTGAGAGGTAGGTTGGGCTGAGAGAGCTCTTTCGAGAACTGCTTGTGAGAGAACAGCTCTGAAGGAGCTGTGTGACTGACCCAAGGTCACACCAGCAGCTGCATGTGGAGGACTGGGGAATCAAACCTGGTTCTCCCAGATTAGAGTCTGTGCTCCTAACCATTACGCCAAACAGTATGCGCACAGGTGCGTGGTTAGGTTGCCCACAGCTTCTGTAGCAGCGTGCTGCTGATTGGAGTTCAGAGTTATAAACAAGCTACGCCCAGGGACAGGAGATAGCATGTTTCGTCCTGACTCTTGGTTTCTTATTTCAGAGTTTGGGGAAAACCTCTCTGAGCGTTGCCAGGCTCCGGCGGCGCAACTGGAGGCCAGAAGGAACAGCATCAAGGTAGAACCAGAGAGCAGCCATCAATAAGTGGCGGGTGACTCTCGGCACTCAGTCACCAAGCAATAATGTGCCAGCCCGACTCCACACGTCAAGAGAGACTCTTTGCGGGAGATGGAGGGGGACGTGCAGTTCTCTGAGTCACCACAAGGAGGCGTGCTTCGCTTCATTGACTGAAGGACAGCTACCATATATTCGCACAACTCTCGTTCGCCAATCGCGGTTCCCCTTCAAGAAGTGAAAAACAAGCTTGGCCTCTGCCCCCCTCCAAGCACCAGTAGAAGTGCATGGATGGGGAATCCCGCATCCTGTGATCCTAATAACTACGTGAGAAGGGGTGTCCTGGCTACAGCGGGTAGCAGTGACCTCAGGGAGACCACATCTCTGCTTAGTTTTGCGGAGGGGGTGGGGTTCATGGAAGGTCAGCCACACAGACTATGATGTATACAGCCATAATGTTAAAAAACAACACTCATTTTTTATATCCTTAACAGAAAGACATTCAGTTCTTCGACCACGTCACCCTCAGAATCACCACTGTTCTTCCCCAAAGTGCACACAAATGCTCCCACAATCCTTACGACCGTGCCGGGACTCGTGCGTGCCCTCCCGTATGTGTACATACGATACATTGTCCCCATAGCCATTCTCTCTCACACAAACACACACTCCCCTGTGTATAAACAAATGCTCCCCCCACACAACAAATGCTCCCCCCACACACAGAGTGACGCGCAGTGTCGCATATCCATCAAATATTTGTCACGGCCGTTCTCTCAGCTCTCTGTCGTCTGTCTCCTCCAAGGTCCCAAGCCGCTTCCTCTTGGGCCGAAACCTCTCGTGGAATGTGCCAACGTCAGTTAATCGCTCTTGGTGTTGACCTCGTGTTGGTGTTCGCCCCCCCCCTCCAGTGGTTCTCGACCACCGTCTGGCCCTTTCTGGAATTCCACGCGGCTCTATGCTCCCGTGACCGTTCTAAGGAACTTGCTCTAGAGCTGGGCCCCTACCAAAATCCATTCATTTCACGGCACCTGGTGTTTTCAAGGGCACAGTCTGCCCGGCTGTGTGAGCAGCAGCAGCAGATTTTATTTTATTTTTTTGCAATTTTATAGAAATTTGAGTAGATGCAGGGATTAGCATAGGGAATTTCTGTGTGAGCCTTCGTCCACCTCTCCTTTTGTGTGGTCTCAAGGTATCCCGAGAAAGAGGAGAAAAGGCAAATGGTCTTTCTCTCTCTCTTTTTCGGAGCCTGAAGCAGCACTGTTCTCATTCCTTTCCTCCCCCCGTAGTAATCAGCTTTGCACTCTTGTGACTTGTCTGTACTTTCCCTCCCTGCCATCCTTATACTGCGGGAAGAGGACTGAACAGCTGAGAGAGGTATCGGGTACCTCCAGAGCAAGGGGTTGGTGCGTGGGCTGGCCCCAAACACCAGCATTGCTTTTTAAAATCACGTAGGTAAAGGATTGCAAAGAGGTTCTTAAAAGAGTTCAGAATGGTTACTCCTAGACTAGAGACTGGGGCAGGGTTGGCCTGGGCGAGAAAAGCAGCCCTGGAGGGACAGGTCTAAACGAGATGTGATGTTTGAGATGTGACCACCACAGGGACTGTCAGACAGCAGCTGCGAGTTCCCCGTAAGAACTCACTCTCCTCCTCCCCAGCAAGGCAAATAGTGCCTCTGGAGTGTTTTGGGTCAGGAAAACGGTGCTGGAGGGGGAGGCTGAAGTCCCTCCTTCAGCCACACACCACAGTCACAGTCTGAAATGGGCCCCTGCGGTGTTTGGCCATTGAGTTCCCCACGGGAAACTCGCGGCTACTGCCTCACCGCTAAGTCCTTATGACAGTCCTGTGTTAAACATCGTGTCTAGTTCAGCCCACAGCCTCGGTGTATAAGCTCGGGCTGTTTTGAGACGACGTGACGCATTTATACCAGCAGTTCTACCACTGCAATGTTGCTTCTGACCAAGGTCTGGACTTGTCCAGCGGCCGCTTGGTGTGAAACCGCAGCCGGAAGGTCCTGTGGTGTCCCCTTTGCCTTTGTATCCCCAGGATCTTTGAACTAGAGACCATGCAGAGATCTGGGAGCTGCTGTTGTCCTACGTAAAAAAGAATTAACATGGCTGCCTCTCCCCCACATCTTATTTTTCTTGAGGGCTATCCCCTGCTCCATGAGCAACTGGAGTAAAGGGGACCAGTTAGGAACTCCACTGTCCTAAGTTTTCTGGGGCGGTGAGGAAACAGGGTCCCACCTTGAAACTTTCTCAGACTGGCCTGGCATCTCTTGGATTCTGATGCGCCAGGGAGATGTTGGCACTGCCTGTTGGGCTGGGTCGGCCCTGGGAAAGGGAGTGCTCTCTTTTACTCACACGAGGGGCCGTGGTTGGCCCTGGGAAAGGCAGTGCTCTCTCTCTTTTACTCACACGAGGGGCCGTGGCGTAACCCCCCACTTCTGAGGACGAAACAGCAGCAAGCTAGACCCTGACGACCTGGCCCATGGGAATGGCACAGAAGTGAACATTACCAAAAACGCAGGGTGCCAACATAGGTTGTCCTGGTGAGCCTTGAAATCCCCAAACGGCACAACATCAAAATCTCCACCTGCTATCACTTTTAGTCGTGTCCCCCCCCCTTCTCCCATAGGGCCCTGGTGTCTTTAATAGAGAAAATTAGCACCCTTTCCTTTGTATTGTGTACAGTAGATTATTTATTTTGTTATTTTGAAATAAAGTCTTATTTTATGGCTTAGCTATTTTTTCTTCCTACATCTGCTCGTACCCCTGTACAGGCTGTGAGATAGGAGTAACGGGTATTCATGGAGGTTGGAGTCTAGATTAATACAGAGGGAAGAGCATGGGTTGGGTCAGCCAATGGGCCAGTGTAGGACTGAAGTCTTTAATTTCCCAGGGAGAAGGAGAGTGGGGGAGGGGGTTAAATGGGTCCAGGACCTAGCAAGATGCTCTCACTGCTATGATGAAGCAAATCCACGTTTTATTTAATCCTCCAAATCCCCCATTAAAGCAGGATTTGGAATTCTCTGTTGGTAGCTGCCACCACTTTGGGTTTACTTTCCTTTGGCTCCCCCCTGCTCCCAGTGGCTGCCCCCCGTGGTACAGAGCCCCCCCTCTCGGGTATATAGTAGCATGTGGCGAGCCATTTGGATGTGGGGTTAGGAATCAAGGCAATGCATCGTAACTCAAGCAATTGTATTACTACGATGCATGACGCAAGAGTAAACACAGGGCAGTTCTAGCATGTGGACTTAGAAGGAGAAATTGATTTATATCCCACCCTTCACTTGGGAATCTCAGAGCAGTTTACAATCGCCTTCCCTTAGTTTCCCCACAACAGACACCCTGTGAGAGAGATGGGGCTGAGAGAGCTCTTTCGAGGACTGCTCTTAAGAAAGCAGCTCTGAGAGAATTGTGGCTTGCCCCAAGGTCACCCAAGCAGCTGCATGTGGAGGCGTGGGGAATCAGACCTGCTTCTCCCAGATTAGAGTCCATGCTCCTAACCACTACACCAAACTGGCTAAGAAAGTAATATGGACTAGGTGACTAATAAGCTAGGTGGGACTCCACAGTTCCTGAGCATCTCTGCACCCTCCCATTTGATGGAGGCTGGCTGCTGGGTCACATGCAGTTTCTCTGCAGTCTCACCTCCATGGTCACACACATCCACCCACACACAAAGGGGCAGGTCTTTTCCACGTCTCCCCCACCCCGTATGTCAAACGAAGTATCGGCCAATCTGGGTTTAAGGTTCTGGAGCCCAGAACTCTCCAAACACATCAAAGAGATAGTATGTTTCTCTGCCACTTGTAAAATGCGCTCATCCATCTGGATGAGGTCTTTCCCAGCCTAGTTGACGCCTTGTGGGTCAGTGAATCTCCATACCTGTCAAACGTTTGCCCCTTCTGCCTCTCGTCCATCACACCCCACCACAAGAAGAGTCATGTGGGAAAGAGAGGCCCTGTTCCTACACAGGGCTGCTGATAGAGGGGGGGAATGGGGGGGGAGACACACACAAAATTTGGGGGGCTCTTGAAGTCAGCATCAAGCTTCAGCCAGCCGAATGGCTTTCCGTTCATTTTTAATTGCAGTTCTGGCTGCAGCCACTAGGGGCGCAAGGAAGTTGGAGCATAGCAAAAGATCTGCTGGACTTTCTCTAAGACTGAAGCTAAAATGATCATCGACCAAGCCAGCACTGGAGCAAGACAAGACAGCACGCTGATGGTTCATACGATAATTGTCAGCCTGCAGGTTATTTTCTCCAATAGCCTAGCCTCTCTTCCTCTTCCCTTCCTCGCACCCAGCTCAGCCAGATAGGATTGCCAGCCTCCAGGCGGGGCCTGGGGATCTCCCCCTTTTGCAACTGATCTCCAGCAGACAGAGATCAGCTCCCCTGGAGAAAGTGGCTGCTTTGAAGGGTGGACTCTACGGCATTGTGCTACGGCATTGTGCTATGCTGAGGCCCCTCCCCAAACCTCACCCTCTCCTGGATCCACCCCCAAAGTCCCCAGGTATTTTCCAACCCAGACCTGGCAACCCTACAGCCAGATCTTGCGAAGCGGGAGTTAGGGTGTTGCAGCAAGATAGAAAGACCCTTTCCTCTCTTTTCCTTAATTTCTTTAACCCCACTTTTCTCATTCATTTCTCCCTCCACCTAATTTTTCCATATCTCCCCCCCCCCCTCATTTTCAAGTCAAGG